GGATATGGATGGTTGTTGGAGAGGAGGCAAAGCCATCGCCTGAGCTGATAACGACAGCTACACGCCTTCGGTATTCCACGCGTGTATATACTGGACGGTTGAATTTTTGGGCTCGTACCACCACGCCGCTGTCAATCACTTGGTCGTTTTTTTTTTAAAAAAAAATACGAATTACCCCTGAACTATCACGGTCGACTGAATTACTATTTGAACCAAAAACCAGATATTACTCAGCCTAAATTTTTAATACCGGACGAATTACCTCCTTCGGTCTAATTTGGAGCGATTTGTCCTGCGCATAGTGGTGTCGGCGGTGGAGGGCGCTACCGGGTGGCGGCTGCACGCCACGGAGGCCGAGTTGGGGCGAACGTGGAGCTCGACGAGATTCCCTCTCTCTCGGGTGTGGGCACAGGTCGCGCGGCGGCGAACTCCTGGAAAGATGAGTGCATCGCGGATGGGTGCTCATCGGGATGCGGCGGAAGCAGCAGGACAGACGACACACGGCGCCCCCATACTCAGCTCGAGGGATGGAGATCGGTACAGCCTGCTTAGCCCGCCGCCTACCTCAGCTCCTCACCCGCCACCCGCCGCGGCCTCTGTGCCCGCTCACCTCCGGCCTCGGCTCCTCGCCCGCAGCTGCCTCCGTCCCCGCCCGCTGCCGCCTCCGTCCCAGCCCGCCTCGACTCCTCTCCCACCCGCTGCCCGCAGCCGCCTTCGCGCCCACCAGTCGTGGCCTCTGTTCACCGAGAGAGAGAGGGAGGGAGAGAAGGAGAGAAAAAAATTGCTGACAAGTGGGCCCATCAGTTTTTATTTGTTTTTGCTGATTGTATCGCCACGTGTGTGCCACGTAGGCTGAAAACCACTTCAAATCGAGTTAGGGTGGTAATTTATCCGATTTTAAGAGTTTGGGGGTGTCAAATGTCCGGTATTATAGTTTATGGGGGGTAAATTGTACTACCGCAATAGTTCAGGTGGTGTAATTCGTACTTTTCCCTTTTTTTGGTTAAGAAAAATCTAAAAATAACTGATTCGATACATAAATATGTAACATACCAATTTCATCGGTTGCTCATATTTTTAATAAGCCAAAATTGCTTATTGGAGGACAAAAATTAATTTATAAATAAAACTTTTATATATGTTCTTAGTGACCTGATTTGATAAAAAAAATACATTAAAAATATCTTAATATTAACTTAAATAAAATTAAGTTAGAAAATTTGAATTTTGGCTTTGACTTATTAGGACAAGGATGAAACTATATCACTCTTCAAACATGCAAGCTCAAATCGATTTGCACGTATAAAAACAAAAGTAACAAATTTGGCTATAAATAATACTCCCTCCATCCCAAAATATTTGACGCCGTTGACTTTTTTAAAAAATTTTGACCGTTTGTCTTATTCAAAAAATTTAAGTAATTATTAATTCTTTTCCTATCATTTGATTTATTGTTAACTATACTTTTATGTCTATATATAGTTTTACACATTTCACAAAAGTTTTTAACAAGATAAACGGTTAAACATGTTTAAAAAAGTCAACGGCGTCAAATATTTAGGGAAGGAGGGAGTACATACGCAATACTACCCACAGTCTAAATTACTATTTTATTTTTGTTTTACTTATGTAAGTTCAATTTGAACTTACAAGCTTGCCATCGCATATTTATTTATTTTATTAATTTTTTAAATATTATACAACATGCATGAAGCGAGGAGACGTCACCTTCTGAAACAGATATTCACCTCCCATAGATATTCTTGTTAATCTTATGCGTGACACTTCCAATCCTAGAAACTTTTCTTTTTTGGGTGAGATAAGCATCAGGCAAAGCGAAGGACCAGCATGTGTCGCTCCCTTTTCCAATGGATAATATGCCTTTTATTTATTAAAAACTCGTTTTGCAAGTGATAATCTTGGCTTAATAAATGGGAGCAGAGGGAGAGTGAGACACCACCGCCTCTTGATTCTTTCAAGATTTCACATGTTTGAATTTGAGCAGTCCGTTTTTCATGACAACATGTAGAAGAGGATTTCTATCTCTTTCATTATCTTAAAAAAAGTACTAAAAAAACCACTCAGCCTTGCTCTCACGTTAGATCAAAATCCGGCGGTTCAGATGGAGCCACGTGTCAGTTGGAGTATCCATGCTCTCCGGGTAAGAAAATGGAGGCCATACCGAACCATCCCTACATCAACCGGTCCTGATCATTGGATTGAATGATTTGTACAAATAACTCCAGGAATTAGTGGAGTAATAGAGTAATTAGGAGTACTAGTAGATGCAAGGCATTGATGACTGGATATGTGACTGGAAACCTGCATGATTGCACTTGCTATGGCTCACAAGGCCACAGGAGCCATGCCAAGCTAGCCAGCTGATTGAGGCATGGTTTCCTGGCCTCTGATAGGCATCTACCACCTCATCAATTCAGAGGGTGATGGGTTAAGTAGTGTGGTGCACCATGACCTTTTCTATCCAATATTTTGTCCCTTTTTCCCCCATGATGAACATGGTCACACTTGGAAATTGGAATGGAGGGGCCAATCATCTTTCCTCCCTCTATCTTTCTTTTTAATTTTATCAATGAATTGGTTGGAGATCCAGGGCAAATGATGTTCTCATTGTGACCACTTTTTATGTATAGGCTATATATAAAGGTTTGATGGGATGGCCCTACTTCTCTACCGTTATTTCACATAATCATTAGTTTGTCCTTGCCGAAATTAGTTAGACCTCCTTTGGAATTAAGAAATTTAGAGATTTTTCAGAGAGAAGTGAAATAGTTCCTGTAAAATTCCTACTCATTCCATCCTAAAATGTAGCTATTTTTAGAGTTTAAATTTGTTCCAATATATAGCTGTTTCTCCATCTGCACCATTATCTCAACCAATCATGCATAAACATCTCCCATTTAACTTTACATATTTTTTCTCAAACCATCACAATCTTTCACAATTTAATTACCCTATTTTTTAAAAAAAAAATAGAAATATTTAGATTTTTTTTGACACCGAAATATTTAGATTTGGGGATGAAGAGAGTATGTTTCACAACCGGTACTTTGATATGGTGTAGAAGAAATCACAACCGGTAAAATATCATGGATCCTTGAAAAAAAAATAAAGGGCAGCTGGCTGAAAAGGGTCATAAAAACACGCTCCTTTCTTTTTTCAAGTGAAACAAAGTCGAATTTTGAATAGGAAAAGTCAGCAGCTACAGTTATACTAAAAAGGTGGGCATAATAATTGTTCTATCAATGAATAAAAACAAACAAGTGGGGAAAATACCAGCCAACTCTAATGCAAACATTGACAATAATACAGACATTCAACTACTAATAAGAAGCCATTATAAAAAAAAATCAACTAAGGCTCTGTTTAGTTCCTACGTAAAAACTTTTCACCCTATCACATCGAATATTTGATACATGCATGAAGTATTAAATATAAAAAAACTTATTACACAGGTTGCGTGTAAATTGCGAGACGAACTTTTAAGCCTAATTGCTCCATGATTTGATAATATGGTGCTACAGTAAACATGTGCTAATGATAGATTAATTATGCTTAATAAATTCTTATTAGTAGTTAATACTTTAAATATGTGTACATATACTTTAAATAGTTTATTGACGGATTCTGTAATTTATTTTGTTATTAGTCTATATTTAATACTTTAAATATGTGTTTATACGTCAAAAATTTTCACCGCTGGATATAAACACAGCCTAAGATTCTCCTGTCTTGCTTTTGTGAGTAAGTTCTAATATAAGTCCCCTGTTTGCTGATTCCCTTTGAATATATTCTTCGACATACACATCCACCCATACTCGATGACAAAAACAGTTGGAAACAGCTCTTCATGGAAATGCTACATTGGCCAATCATGCTCTTTATTTACTCAACGGAATTATGGGAATGCTACCCTAATTATTTATTAGATGGAGGGTGATAGTTGGTACTGACAAAAATTCCTTGTTGTCAGCTTACATTAAGCCAAGATTTAAGGGACACTTCTCTTGATATGGTACTGAAGCTTTTTCTTAGAGCTGCTTTAATAGACAACCTATCATACCCCTTCTTTAGCTATAGAGAATCAATTCCTTCAACCCCACCAATCTAAACTTTGTTACAAATCAGATTTCCTTTTTCTTTTGCGATTACCCGAAAGACCAACACACATACAACATATACATCACTATACACGCAAAAAATTCCTAGCTCACAGAATTCTTATTCACAAATGAACCCTGATTAATAAAGTCTTTATTTGTAGAGAAGGGTATTTTTACTCGGCCTCTATATCCAACCAGAAATATGTAGCCCTTTTAAATTAGTAACCGAACTCAGAGCTTTGGGTGCTACTCAGGTCACTGCAACCACTAGACTACATGTTGTTTCACGATTAATAAAGTCATACAGTTATATTCCATGACCACATATTTGGCGCTGCTCTACTAAATCCCTCTAAAACATGGACCAAAAAAATTCATATGGTGAGAGTTGCAACTTACACTTATTGGTAAACAAAAATTCCAGAGCTCTCTCAGCAAAAATCTTTTTTTTTTGTTTTTGATACATTATATACTCCCTCCGTCCAAAAAAAGACAAACCATGATTTTCGTGTCCAACATTTGACCGTCCGTCTTATTTGAAAAAATTATGAAAAAAATTAAAAAGATAAGTTACGCATAAAGTATTGATCATGTTTTATCATCTAACAACAATGAAAATACTAATTATAAAAAAATTCATATAAGACGGACGAAAACCATAGTTTGTCTTTTTTTTTTTACGGAGGTAGTAGACTGCAATTTGCAGGTAGGACTACATAACTACCCACGACATGACATCATGCCAGCCGATCCGGACCATCCGTTACTTAAAAGTGGACGGCCAAGATGAGCCAAAAGTCAGCGGCACAGTCGCACAGTAACGGCAAGGACTGACGACCCTGAAAAAAAAACCTCGTAGCCTCGCAAGAAATTCAGTCGCGTCTGCATACAGGTCATCCATCTCTCTCACTCTGCCTCGCCGGGAAGCAGCAGCGAGCGAAGTAGTAGGCGAGAGAATCCGAGCGAGGAAGAAAGCCCGAGCCGAGGAGCGCTTTAAAGCGGGAAGAAGAAAGAAAGCGCGCGAGTAAAGAAAAGGGAGGAGGAGGAGGAAAGAGAGCCGTCGTTTTCGTTCTCCTCTGCTTCGCCTCGGCCACGCTGCGGCCACCTCCTTTCTGCCACGGCAAAAGCCTCCTCGGGATGCTCCACTGATCGTCTTCTACTTACTCCTCTTTCTTCCAGCTTGGCCGGCGTGTGGCTGATTATTCCAGAATTTCCATTAGCTTAATCACCGGATCAAGAAGAATGAGAGAAAGGGGGGAGAGGCTCTTTTCTGTGGGATGACAGATTCCGTTTTGTAGGAGCAGCGCACCATTTCAGATTTCTTCCTCCTCCTCTTCTTCTTTCCGTTGTGCTTGCTGCTTTTCTCTACTACCTTTTCCACTGTTGCGAAGTCGGGTTGGTGGGTGGTTGATTGATTGTTCTTTCCTTCCTCGTGAGGGTTCTTGCTTCTTGGCTTCTTGGCCGCTTCTTGAGTTGGGGCTAGCTGGTTCTTTTGCTGTCTCTGTCCCGTCAAACTGAAGCGAGCGAGAGATTGACCGGGTGGGTGATTCTTCTTCGAGGAGCTTCTTCTTGGAGCTCGTGAGAGTGGAGTGATCGAGGTGGTGGTGTGAGAGCAGTAGACAGGTTTTTCTTGGGGAGCTTGGAGGTAGCCGGAGTTGGGGGAGGAGGAGGAGGATGGCCGCCGCGCCGCCGCCCAAGGCCGACGAGCTGCAGCCGCACCCGCCCAAGGAACAGCTCGCCAGCGTGTCCTTCTGCATCACCAGCCCTCCGCCATGGCGTACGTGCGCTCTGCTTCTCTACTTCACTTCAGGGTTTCTTAATTTTTCTGATCTCGAGTTCTCGATTGCTGCTTAAAGTGTTCTTTGTGATTTGTCCTTTCGTGTTGTTTTTTGTCCATGCTTTTGTTTGGTTGATGCTTGAGTTTTTCATCGGTGGATACGTGTGGTGATCATCTGTTTATGTGAAAGTGGAATGTTTTAGTACTGAACTTTTGGCCTACTTTTGGTTTGATGCTGATGCTTTTGCGTATAAAATTGTGTATTAGTTTGTACGACATGCTTTTGTTCTTCTTTTCTCTCGTTAGTTCTAGTATTTTCTTACTTTGCTCAGCTGAGGAAAAGGAGACTTTTGATTAACTAGTCTATAAAGATTAAGTTCACCTTTTAAAGTTTTAATCCATCATAAAAAGGGTTTTGAATTGCAAATTCTTTATGCAGTTGCCTAGCAGTAAACTGTGTGTATGTTCAGTTCAGAGATGTGTTCAAGTATATATGCTATTTTTTTTCTCTGAACTTGTTATCTTATCTTATATGCAGCCGAGGCCATTATATTAGGATTCCAGCATTTCATTGTTATGCTGGGCACCACTGTCATCATACCGAGTGCACTTGTACCTCAGATGGGAGGAGGAAATGTGAGTCCCAAAACTTATGTGTTACAGTACATCTCTTAGTTCTATTCACTTGCTTGACAATTGATTTCAGTACTACTGAAGATTTATCAGTGTTAATTTACACAAAAAAAAATTGAACCTCTACATGCTGAATATCTGAATAATTGCTTCTTTATATCAGGATGAAAAAGCTCGGGTAATTCAGACGCTGTTGTTTGTTGCCGGAATAAACACCTTGTTCCAAACATTCTTCGGGTCTCGTCTCCCCGTTGTGATGGGTGGCTCATACACTTTCGTCGCACCAACCATCTCGATCATTCTGGCTGGACGTTACAACAATGAAGCAGACCCTCGTGAGGTAGTGCCCAGTGGTTTTGGTCTTCGGATTAGCGGTGTCTCTGTCTATTTATGACATTTTTTTTTGTGGGGGGGTGAAAGCTAACATTTTTCTGCTGTTGTTGTTGTAAAGAAATTCTTACGGACCATGAGGGGAACACAAGGTGCTCTCATCATCGCGTCGACGATTCAGATGATACTTGGTTTCAGTGGTCTCTGGCGCAATGTTGTTAGGTTGGTATGGTTTTGGTCTTTATTTGATTGAAGCTAGAGCTGTGTCGTGTAGAGTTTTGATTTTTGCAATTAACTGTCCTGTATTATTTTTGCAGGTTGTTGAGTCCATTGTCTGCGGTTCCTCTTATTTCACTTGTTGGATTTGGGCTTTATGAGCTTGGTTTTCCAGGGGTTAGTAGTTCTGCTCCTTCTATTTTTTTATGTTTTTAAATCCTGAATATACCTTCATGTTTTTTTTTTTGGAAAAATGGATGCAGGTAGCTAAGTGTGTGGAAATTGGTCTTCCAGAACTCATCCTACTTGTTGCATTTTCTCAGGTATTAATGTTACTTTACTACTCTCTGCATAGTCAGAGCAATAGTAACATATTTTACATACTGATCATGTTTGTATTCTTGATAGTATTTGCCTCAAGTGTTACATTTTGGGAAGCCTATCTTTGGCCGGTTTGGTGTTCTTTTCACCGTTTCGATAGTGTGGCTTTACGCGTACATTCTCACAATTAGCGGTGCTTACAAGAATGCTCCACCAAAGACACAGGTGCATTGCCGTGTTGATCGCTCAGGCCTTATTTCAGGAGCTCCTTGGTAGGATTCTAGAATAACCATAGTATTATTCCGTGCTTTTATTTCGATGGAAATCCTTACAAGGTGTTGATTTTTTATTGTAGGATTAGAGTTCCTTATCCCTTTCAGTGGGGAGCTCCAACTTTTGATGCTGGTGAAGCCTTTGCAATGATGATGACTTCATTTATTGCTCTTGTGGAGGTTGGTCTGCAGTACTTAATCAAGAATAGAAAGAAAAGGCTATGCTAGCATGCATTCTAAGCTATCCATTTAGAAGTAATAATATGATAAAATTTTGCCTGTAGACAACTGGAGCTTTCATTGCTGCTTCAAGGTATGCAAGCGCAACTATGATACCTCCATCAATCATTAGTCGGGGCATCGGTTGGCAGGTAAGTGAATCAATTGTGCCTTTTGTACCATAGAATTTGTCCCATCTTCAATTTGTTACATTGATTATCCTAAAACATTATCTTCAGGGAATCAGCATCTTGATTGATTCTTTTTTTGGGACGGCCAATGGAACCTCAGTTTCAGTGTAAGTATAGCGTTAGTGGATAATTAGAACCGTCAATCCTTGATTGCTCAGATAGTTCCTTTTTTTCCCTTTTTCTAACTGGGAGTGTGAATTTGGTATTCACAGGGAGAATGTTGGTTTACTCGCTTTGACACATGTTGGCAGCAGGAGAGTAGTGCAAATATCTGCTGGTTTCATGATCTTCTTTGCTATCCTTGGTAATTCTGCTCATGTCCTTATAGCTATCTTAACATATTTTTTTTGTTGTGTAGAAGTCATTTTCTCTGCCACACTTGGCTAGGCTAATTATAAATTATTTTGATGAACCAGGAAAATTTGGAGCACTTTTCGCATCCATTCCATTGCCTATATTTGCGGGCATGTACTGTATTTTCTTCGCTTATGTCGGTAGGTTGAGATGCCTGAATCAAATAAACATCAGTTCCTTCATCTGATAATTCTCAACATATTATTCCGCTGTAATGATTCACTGTTCCTTCCATGCGCAGGTGCCTGTGGTTTGAGTTTCCTTCAGTTTTGCAACCTAAACAGCTTCAGGACCAAATTCATCTTGGGTTTTGCTTTCTTCATGGGGATCTCAGTTCCTCAGTACTTCAATGAGTACACAGCTGTTGCAGGTTATGGACCAGTGCACACTGGTGCCAGATGGGTATGAGAAATACTACATCCTACAGAATCCTCCTTTTTTTTTCTTCATAGCTTGTTCTTTGTTCTGATCACTTGATGATAATCTTTGCTCTCTCTTTTTTTTTCAGTTCAATGATATGATAAACGTGCCGTTCTCGTCGAAGCCGTTTGTCGCGGGTCTTGTGGCCTACTTCCTCGACAACACGATCGAGACGCACAATAACACGGTGAGGAAGGATAGAGGCTACCATTGGTGGGACAAATTCAGGAGCTTCAAGAAAGACGCGAGGAGCGAAGAATTCTACTCGTTACCGTTCAATCTGAACAAGTTCTTCCCTGCTGTCTGAATGATCTAGCAAATGTCACCCAAGCAAAAATGGTTCATGTCTGAACATAATTCTGCTGGCCTTCTTCAGTGTTGCTGTGCGTCAGTTTTGTGTACTTATAATAGGCGAATCTTACTAATTGGACAACGGAGATGTGCCTTAGAATGGGAATATCATGTCTATTTTTTTGTCCTACAATGATTTATGTGTCATTACCTAGGTCTTTCTCTTATCAAGTTGTCAATGACCCAATGTACATGTGGCTTTTCTATCGGATAGTATTAGTATCACATTTAACAATATGACCTGATGCTGATCTGCAATTTAGTGAGTAAAATACTGAAGCTGTCAATGCACATGTGGCTTCCTCAGTACAGATATAGGAGTAATAATCATCAGCAATCTGGCCTGATGTTCTTCTGCCCTTTTTTGGGTTAAGTAAATAGTGAAGCGTTTTATGCTATTCCTACTCCTGTTACTTGTAGACAGCTCCATCGTTGGCTTATAGCCGTAGCCAAAATTTAAACTTAGCTAAATTTTAATTTTTAATACTCAATTTTAGAGTTAATTTTGAGGGTTTTTTCACCATAAGATTATAAGTTTTTTTACCGTAGTTTATTTCCAACATTAGCTTTTAAATCACTATAAGCACGTATATAAAAGTTTTACTCATAAATTATTTATTTTTAGTTACTCAATTCAGTTTTGCACGGCTTATCAGTTCCATCTGAATTGTTAATTTGCACCTTGCATTGCTCCATGTGCTTGGCAATGTTTGTTCTGTATTCTGGTTATTAATCAACTGTTAAAGAAGCCATCTGGAATTCGGGGATGGGCCTACAGATTGGAATTCATAAGAGCCCATTGGGCCTATGCCTTGCAGTCTCCTTCGAGTTTTTTTTTTTAATCCAGTCTCCTTTGAGTTGTTGGCTTGTTGCATGAGACTTGACATGCTTTAAGCTCTAGCACATTGGACCGAGTCGTAATTTACAGCGTAGAAGTTACGATGTTTTGGTGGAATTTTACAAAGTATCCATTTCAAATATTGCCACCTCAGAATTCACCAGTCAGGAATTTCACATGACTCTCATAGGATTTAGTTCAAATTATATGAAAATCCTCCAAAAATCTTCCATTTCAGAGGATGCCAAATTCATAGTAGCAAGTTGACAGCAGCGAATCCTACAGAGCACACCTATCCAGTGATAAAATGGCAGCACAGGTGTCTCCAACAGAAAGATCATGTGACTGATTTGAAATGTCATTTGATTGGCACACTTCAAATCTTGCATGGATCTCATCACACAACCGAATTGCAGTTTCAATGACGAAGAGACTTGATACCAATTACTACCTAGTATTCTTGGCATGCCAACTTCCATCTGCTAGGGCTTTGTGTGGCTGGCAATTGAAATCTGGCCCCCAAAAATGGGAGAGATGATGGCATCAGAGCCCCCAAAATCTGCATGGAGTTGAGGCCCATCCTCAGTGCTGATGACAACACCTTCTATCATCATAGGGAAAATCCTCAACAACCATGATGCCATATGATATGATACAGCTCCTGAAATAGAGGAACAAGATCAGAGATTTGATTACGGGTACAAAGCCCATGATACAAAAATGTCACAATAGTTGCAGATCGATGGCATTTGATGATTTTGCATCTGCAGTGGTCATGGTTATACACAGGTCCAATCATGAATCATCATCATACAAGAAGACCCAATAGAATTATCCGCATCAAATTGCATTGTGCGAATAGCGCAAATATAGCAACCGGCAGAAATGTTTTTTTTTTAGCCGGGCCTAGGCGGACCAAATTTACTTAAGAAAGGGGTATGTACATATTTACAAGGTTCCAACTTCGACAAGAGGCTGTCGAAGTAAAAGGATGTTGTCACAAGGGCAACTTCCCGAAAGAAAAAACAATTACATCATGCTGTTGTTACTCTCCTAAAACTTTGAAAACCCCGGCTTCTTTCCAGACCATAACCTCCTCTTTAATCAAAGCAAAGAGGCTACCCGCTGTCCGGCTCTGACTCTGGAAAACACGTGCGTTTCTCTCCTTCCAAACCATCCAACAGACAAGCAAAACTAGCATGTCAAAAGCGCCCCTGCAGCTGGTCTGAACTCCTTGCCGCGCCAAGAGCCACCATTCCCCTAGTTCCAACCCTGCTTCAGCCGGCAGTTGGATGCCAATTCCAGCCCAACCCTTGATCATCCTCCATACTCTGGTGATGTATGGGCAGGAAACAAAGAGATGCTCACAGTCCTCGTCGCTGCTGGTGCATAGTGAGCATGTTTGATGGTGTGGCCATCCGCGCTTGCTCAGGTTGTCGGCCGTTAGGCAACGGCATTTTTCTGCCAACCACATAAAGAACTTAACCTTTGTCGGTGCTCTCGTGTGCCAAACTAGATTGCCACAACGCGCCTCTGTGTTTGCCATAAAAACATGTCATAGGCAGAGGAAGGGGTAAATCTTCCATTCGAGGCCCACTTCCATATTGTCTCATCCTCTTCCCCTCCTCGCAGCTGCACCTCCTGGATCGCATCCCAAATTTGAAAGTACTCCCCAATGCCCCGGTTGGATGGAGCTCCTTTGATGTCGCGCACCCACCTATGGTTCTGTAGTCCTCTCGCCACTGTCAAACCCTTGCGCTCCACATGACTGAAGATTAACGGAAATCTCGCCTTTATGCTCCCAATTGGCAGCCAATCCGCAAGCCAAAACTTTGTGTTTTCCCCATCTCCCAACACTTGCCGTGTGGCTGAGAAGAACAGGTCATGTAACTCCTTCGGCTGCTTAGTCTCAACGGTTGTCCAAGGTCTGTCGCGATGCTCTCCTCTCTTTGCCAACCATTTAAGCCGTAACGCCATGCCGAAGAAGTTTAGGTTTTTGATCGCCAAACCGCCCTTTTCATATGGCATACAGACCGATTTCCATGCCACTAAACAATGCCTGCCACTCACCTCCTCCTGTCCCTTCCACAGAAATCCCCGACACTTCCTATCAATCTCCTTGATTGCAGACTGCGGTAATTCGAGCACCGACAAGTAATGAACAGGCAGAGCGAAAAGAACTGACTTGATCAAGGTCAGACGGTCTCCAGTGGATAGGAACTTAGGCTTCCAACCGGCGAACTTCTTAGAGAACCGATCCAACAAAGGCTGAACATCTTGCTTCGTGAGCTTCCGGAGTGAAAGCGGCAGGCCCAGATAAGTGATTGGGAACGGCTCCAATCTACAACACAGAATTGACTGCACCAAAATTGCCTGATCCTCTAAGCATCGGATTGTTGTGATTGCACTCTTCGCAAAATTCGCCTTCAAACCAGTTGCCTCCCCAAAGAGTTGAAGGATCGCTTTCACTGCCCACGTATCTTGCTGCATCGGCCGGAAAAAGAGGACCGCATCATCAGCATACAAAGAAATCGCTGGTGGCCACAGCCTGCCTCCCATCCCGCACATGGCGCCAGCTGAGATTGCCTTGTTTACCAGGGCCTGCAGGACGTCCATCACCAACACAAAGAGGAGTGGTGACAGCGGATCTCCTTGGCGCAACCCTCTCATCAAACTGATCGGGTCACATTCCTCCCCATTCATCCCCACTGTCGTCCGTGTCGTGCATAGCAGCGAACAAACCCCGCGTCACCAGCGCATACCAAACCCTCTGTGTTGAAGCAGCTGCAGCAGAAAGGGCCAAGAGACCGAGTCAAAAGCTCTTGAGATGTCCAACTTAAGAAGGACCATCGGCTGGTGTTCCGTGTGAAAACGACGAGCCATGCCTCTGACAAACATGAAATTCTCATGGATCGAGCGTCCCCTTATGAAGGCCGACTGCGTGTACGGAATCAGGTCCCCCATTCTGCCCGCCAGCCTTGTTGCCATCAACTTGGTCGCCAAGTTTGAGAAACTGTGGATCAGACTTATTGGTCGGTAATCCTTCAAGAGCGCCGGCGCTTCTTTCTTCGGAAGAAGGATGATCACAGCCGAATTCAATCTCTCAAGGTTTTGCGAATTGCCGGAGAAGAATTTCTGGAGGGCTGCTAAGACATCACACTTGATTGTATCCCAGCAAGCTTGATAGAAAAGCCCTGTGAAACCGTCCGGGCCAGGAGCTTTTTCAGCCGGCATGTCTCTAATTGTCTTCCAAATTTCCTCCTCCCCGAAGTCCTCCACTAGCTCTGCTAGGTTCAGCTGCTCCAAGCCTAAATTCTGAAAATTGAGCCCCCTCCTACTAGCATCAGACTCAGTCGTGCCCATCACCCCTTGGAAATATCCCCTTGTCATCTGAAGCATATCCTGCTGGGTTGAAGCCCGCTCGGCAGAAATGTTGGGAGCCATAAAATGGTATATGATGGAATGGAACTGAAAATGGATTACACATCTAGTACTTAAAATAGGTACTCACCTTTTCTTTTTAATCAAATTCATCTTCCAAAGTATTGAAGTATTAGAAACTATTAAGAGTGGCGGGCTGGGCGGCCGCTCGGCGTGTCCACGTCGGATAGCTACAGTGCAGGGGTGGCGATTTTGCGAAAAAACCCTCCTCTTTGTGCGTAATTCGATCGAGGTTCCTAACAAACAGTATCCATGAGGTGTTACTTTACGTGAAGGTCCTTCAGAAATACGGATATTCCATGCGAAGGAGAGAAAAATCGTGATTTAGGACCGTGCTCTAAAAAGTGAAAAACGAGGGGCTTTTTTGCAAAACTACGCGCACTAATCCACTCCCCCTCCCACAAACCCTAGCCGCCGCCGCCAGTCCCCTCCTCCCTCTCGTTCATTGCTCAGTATGTATCATCGAGAATGGTCAGTTGTATTGTCAGGTTAATGACGTGATAGTATTTGTAGCACTGACATTACCTACTGTTTTCCTGTTGTATTGAGTGGTTTTGGCAATGTTTGCAGGTACGGATTCCCAATAAACTGATGTTGGGTGATCTAATAACTGAAGGCAAAATGAAGTAATATAATCGCATCAATTTGTAATGTTGTGGGGAGTTGATTTTGTTTTTGTTTTTCTGTACTGATGAGGTGTAGGCTAGCAGCGCCCGCCAACCGGCACTGAGGTAAGGAGTTCCACAACCACAGCACTCAGATGCAAATAATGGGCATGCCTCTGTCTAAGCTACTAAGCAGAGAAGCACACTGCAAATAAGAGCTGAGTGAGCTGGGAGCTGCCAATCTCTGTTTTCTCTTTTTCTTGGATTGCAATTTTTGATTTTAGATTGGATATTTGAGAGAATGCATAGGAAAGGGAAAGGAAAAGGGAAAGGGATGCCTTTACATTGTACTTATCTTTCCTTACGTTACCTATCTCAGATGTGGTCATAGTAATATACTTTTTTCTTTGTGCCACTTATCTTTCCTTTCTATGCTCCACTGATATATCAGCTGGTCCATGTGCCATTTGGTGATTGCTGCTTACATAGTTATTTTTATTTATCTCCGTACGCTATGTGATGTTATATTCCCTTCTCGATATATGTTCAGCCATTCAATCAGTTTTGATTAGTTAATGTTCATGCATCAGATTTGTTAATACAAAATGTTCTCTGATCTGGTATTCAGCTTGGCTACCAGTACATGTTACAAGTTCAATCTTCCACAAGCAATTGAGAAAGGTTGCAGGTGAGAGGCAAGCAGAAGCATGACAGGAATATTGATTTACTTACATGATAACCGTTGTGCCATTAGGTACTAATACTAACACTATTATTTTAAATCATGCCCCTTCTATAGCTTGCTTCTTTGGCTGCATGTACTATAGCTGATTCTTTGCTGTTATATGATATTTTGAACTTCCTACAGATGTTGTATATGCTATTTAATTTTCATTTTTGTTTTCATGCTCTGCAGTTTCATCTGCATGTAACCTAAATAATTTCACGGTGCTCAACTGGATCACTGTGGGTGTAGTTTCATTGCTCATTTCCCATGTGAATATTAATTTATTGGCAATCCTAATTGTAGCTGCCATTTGATCTCCTTTGTGATGTTTTACCTGTCCAAATTTTTATCCCAACGGGCATCCTTGAGGTATATCTGTGTTTATGTTATAGGTGCGCGCTGATGCTTGGTTCTGCTTCATTTAATGGCTTAGCTTGATTAACCTGAAAATGTGAATTGTGCTCTTAGGGGTTTTTATACCATATAATGTAATCTCTTATCTTTTTCAGCCTTGGACAATCGGAGGTCATTGAGATTAAACTCTGCTTGCTTCGCATCCTCCAGTAAGTGTAAGACTTAAAAAAAATCCATGGGTATTTTTTCACTTCCCAGTCGTAACATACATGTCATAATGTTAAGCACTAATTGATTTAGTTATAAACTATGTTTGAGATTACACTAGCAGGTCCCATTAATCAATGGAAAATATTCTTTTTTTTCGCACATAGACAAGTTATATTTCCAAGTAAATTTCTTCATTCAAAAATCACTTATTTTGGTATCAATGGCTAGCGTAACCAACTCAGATGATCTTCTTGTTGATAAAATGCAGTATGTTCAGCATGGATGGTGACTTTGGTCCATTGCTTGAGCTTATCAAGTTACACAGAATGTATGGGCTTTTGTTGGTCATGGACGTTGTTAGTGTTTTTCTCTCCCTTGAAATACATATTTTTTTCCTGACTATTGGTAATCAAGTAATGTTGTAATTTTCCTTTTCAAGGCACACAGTTCTCACTTGTTTGTGGTGGTGATGGTGGTGGTTTTTAACATATAATGTGATATCTTTTCTTTTTCAGCCTTGGACAGTTGGAGATCATTGTGATGTTGGTGTAATTGGGCTTACTAAGTGCTCTGGTACTCATGGGCTTCTTCCCTGTTTTGACACCTTTTTGTTAGTATCAATTCAGAGAGAGACAATTTGCGTACATCCCTTGGATTTCATGATCTGGGTAAATTTTCCACTCAATTCTACTCTTACTTCTAGCCGCTGTATTATGTTTTCAGTTTGGCCATAACATAATCGAGGTTTCAGTTAATATGTAATTTGTGGTGTATTACTTGCTACCTACAGTCCCATTAAATTGATGTTTTCTTACCGCCTATGCTCAGACTACAATCACTGGCAGTCCAAGCAGCCTGCTTCTTGCCTCTTTTAATAAGATTACACATATATACATGGATTAATTGTGTGATTCTTCTCAAAATGCACTTGAAATCTGAAGGTGTATTCTACATAGTTTGTGTATATGGATTTATTCACTAATTCTTCTGCAAGCAGACAATCTTGGTTTGCAGCCCCAAGTAAAGGGCAAGTGTACGAATTTAGCCACAAAAGCGACGCCAACGAGGATCGCCATCGACGGTGACCGCTGCTCCATCGATCCTTCTTCCCCCGTTTGCTACTCTCACTTCACAGGTTCAAATACCATCCCCGCGAGATCTCATCTCCAAACCACATGCCTTTACTATTACCACACTATTTCGCTCTCTTTCTATTCTTTTCATTCCCCATTTTCTCTATACCGAATATATGTTTTTAGATCATCGAGCGTCACACCCTTCCTCGAGTCAATCAAACTATCATAGATCTACCATTAACCCTAAGTACTGTTGACAGCCCTAATCAGTGATTATGCTTAAGTGATCTAACCTACAAACCCTCTTTGATATTAGCTGACCCAAAAAATCCTTTCTATAACCATTTTATTATAGGGGTAGACTATTTGATTGTATCATTTAACTATGTAGATTTGGCATCCTAAATATACACCTATTCTATTACATATTCTCTCACTCATCCTTATTTCAGTTCAGATATAAATGTTATACTTTTTGGCTTGCCCATTATTGAAACATGTATACTCGTACTTTAGCCCCTTTCAATTCCTTATATTTTATATTTGTGTCATGACTTGCTAATATCGGATTCAGTTCCTAATATTTCTAATATAAAAATTTCCCTTTTTCCATACATTAGAACAATACCATTACACGAAAGTACAATAAATAATTAATACTCTTTCACATAAATCCTTTAACTACTATACTGAAAAAAAAATACTTACATCAACTGTAAATTATTAAGCTTTTTCACGGCTATTTAGTCCTATTCCTGCATCATAATTATCTTATATCTTATCGTAGTATAGCCACTTAACCCAGCACATTATCTTCTTACCATATATATCTTTCCAGCTACAACTAAGATTTACACCACATAAATACTTACATACATCAAGTTATAGATCATATACTTCATTGCATTTCTACATATCCCAAAATACTCACCCTGTTTAAAAATAAAAAAATTATAATAAAAACTCTAATAACTAGCTGAGCCTCTCATAACTTTTTTTATTTATCAAATACATCTAACTACATGTGTATATATATTGTAGCCACAATCATGTCTTCCGCAGTGTTCGCATCAATGAGGCTGAATGCAACAAATCAAAGCTACTTGGTAAGCTCAAAGTCAAACAAAACTTTCTATGGACAATATGCTGTTAGCACCAGTGCGGATATGATATTTTCTTTCTACAGCCTGTGCCAATCACACTTGCGACAGCATATAAGATGCAGCATGGAGATAATCTGAAGTTAAAAACTTCCCATGGCTTGAAGATAAAGATCAAAATCAAGGAAGTAGCTAGCACACTGTACATGACGACAGGATGGAGATAATCTGAAGTTAGAAACTGGAGAAACGATTCTTTTCAGGATGCCATCAAGGTCTAAAGCGTGTGTTATGATACTGAACAGACAAGGCCTTATTAGATGTCCAGTGAAGACCCCATCCAACAGCTCATCAGCTAACAAAAGGTCCCCTGATCCATCAGGTCAATTAACCAGAGCAAGCACATTTGACCATGCATCTTCTAGCAAAAGCGTTCCATTTCTGAGGAATGGAACAGGTACAAAGCTTGCCTCATCACATTTTTTCAACTTACACTACCCATTAACATGTCTATTCTGTTTTCGCCGGGTAATAGAAGATATACAATTAAATCAGCCAGATACTCCTCCAACTTACATTGGCTAAAAACACTGCTATATTGCCTCCTGCAAAATTGCACATGCTGGACAAGTGATTTAAATCTTTCTATCTATGTTTCTATTCATATGTAATCATTTTCTGTGTCATTTTTTACTAGCAGGCAGTAACAAAAGAAAACCTAGCAGACACCTCCTTCTGCCACCAGATTAAGCTCACAGCTGAATTGAAGAGTTACATCAAAGAGATTGCAGATTGTCTAGAAGAATCAAACAAGTTCTATGTCGTGCGTATGAACAGAACATTCATGGAACAGGACAGAGTGGTAATTTTTGACACAACATTTCCATCTTCTTATACCCATACTGAGCATATAAATGTCACTTTTCTTTTTCAGTACTTTGCGACTGAGTTTTCAAAGAAATACATTGTGAACTTGGTTCGAGGCAAGACAGCAAACATTAGAGTGCAGATTGCAGGTCGACCCTCAACAACTTAACATCAGGGTGGTTAGCTTTGCAGCAGCCAACAGCATCAACTTACACAATCTGCATCTTCCACTTTTATAGGACACAAGTCACCTCATGCTCACCATAGATGCTCTGTGAAAGTTACCTGCATCTTCAGTAGTCGCTGCTATTATCTACCCTGGAACAGCTACTATAATTCTCTCTATTATCCTTTGCTTGCGGTCTATCTAACTTCACTTGCTCAGTAAGCACGTGACCTATAACTGCTTATCATTGTCCTCAGCTCCTTTTGTTATTCATAAGCTGAGTGAACAATTAACCACTTTATGTACAAACAGCTGGCTTGTTATACTACAGGTTACTATGGTACTATTTGTTGTTTCTTTTTACCATATGCTTTTTAGCTTTTCTTAGTTAAGAGAACGTGTGCATCGCATCTTTCCATCGACCTGTCTACAGGCGGCGCGCCATTGGCGCGCCCCAGCCTCTAGTTCACATAGTTGTACGCGCGCAGCATGCATTTTATTTAGGCACGGTCCACAATTCATACATGTATAGTGGATACGTCTCGTCGGCAGACACTCACGGTATAGTAGGGTAGTCGTGTGTACAGTGATATAGTCATATCTGCGCGTCTTTTCATGCCGTTCGTTGACTTCGTTCACAGGGTCAGGGTCGGGTAGGCGATATCGAGTGTGACGCCACACAGGCCGGGGCCACCGACGTCGCGGAGAATCCGGATGTAGCCGCGCTCGCCCCATGACTGGCCCCATGAGTTCTTGATGGTCCAGTACTTGGCGCCGGAAGACGCGTCGGTGCCGTACCCGACGACGGTGACGGCGTGCGCTAGGCGCGTGCCGCACGGGCCCGTGTAAACGCCACCCTTGTAGAACTGCATCCCGCTACCGACCTCGATGGCCACAGCCACGGGCTGCCGAGCGACGGCGGCCTGCAACGCCGCCTCGTTCCGCGGCGGCACCTTCCCGAAGCCGGTGATCTTGGCGGCATGGTGCGCGGACTTGGCGCGGTTGCAGGGGCCCCGCCGCGCCGTGTACGGGTAGTCCGCCTCCGTGGTGAGGCCACCGTTCTCGACAACCCATTTGTACGCCCGCCCGTACGACCCTAAGTTGCAGCCGCCGTCATAGCTGTCGCAGTCCACCAGCTGCTGCTCCGACAGAGAGACCAGCTTCCCCGTCTTGATCATGTTCAGGCTCTCGATGGTCGCCGCTGTCACGAACGCCCAGCAGCTACCTGCAGGCGTACGTAACGTAGGTCCAATGCAATTAATAATTAATAATTAAGGTATATTTTACGTTTGAAATGGAACCATGTGTGAAATTTACACGTACTGCATGTTGACGTTTGGGACTTGGGAGGCACAACGGCGCCTTGGGCCCTCCAGTCGACACTGGCCGGAACGTCCACGCGGTAGGAGAAGCTGGCGTCGACGTCTCCGGCACCCGTCGTGATAACGGAGTCGTCCACGGGGCCATCGCCGGCGTAGTACCCGGTGTACGTGGCCAGGAACTCCTCCTCGGTGAGGTCTGCGAACTCGTTCTCGGCGAGCTGGTAAGTGAGGTCGCCGCGCAGGTTGACGGCGTCGATGAACTCCGCGTTGCGGCGGTACACATCGAACCGCTGCAGCGCCTCTTCTGCGCTCGGGTACGACCGGTTGTGAGCTCCCTGCCAAGCGCGGAACCTGTCCATCATCACCATGTCGCCGACGTCCAAGCAACTGCCCGCCGTCGCACGCGCCGGGAGCATGGAGGTGGCGAGAAGGGCACCGCACGACGCGAGCAGGGCCAGCGTGAGTACCGGTGGCGAGGCGCACGCCATGAATGGTGCCATGGCATGCACCTAACTTGTGGGTAAGTACGCGTTCCACCGTTCAATATTCCACTTCTGGTCGACTATGCATGCTTAGCTCTACTTACTTATATGGTGTGTCGGGGTGCTGGGCTGGAGGTGTCAACGTCGAAAAGATGCGCTGATGGATGTAATTTGGCTAGCGACAAGTGCACACAAATGACGCCTGCTGGTCGTGCGGCCATTAGTGGAATGGCAACCAACCGTATTTCTCTTGTAATTGTGTTGCACGGCTATACATCCACATGTCACAGCCATGTCACCAACGAGTTTGTTAGGCTGCGTTGCCGTGCACACGACCAATAGCAAAGCGGATTAATTTTCGGTTTGACTGTGAACGTTGTGCGTTTGGTTCTGCGTATATCAACCTGAAAATTAACATATGTGAAAAAACTTGACTTTCCCTAACCAAAGTTATATGAAGTTGGATAATACTGTTATAGAAAGTGATATTTCTTGACAAGAGAAAATATGGACATGATAATATTGGCAACAGAAAATATGGAGATGGTAGTATTGGCAGCCATGGCAAAGCAGCCAGTCGGTCCTCCACACTCTGGCAGAGGACGGGCGGCAGCTAGGCATCCAAAGACGGTCACCCATGGCCCGATGGACGCCCAAAAGATGTTCAACCTCAACACCCACCTACGAGAGGAGGCCCACAAACCCACATTGGATTGGCTGACTACCTAGTAAGATGTAACAGGTTAACCGTTTAGCTTATAACTGGTAAACCATAAAGCAGTTTATTAGCAACAAAAAATAATAATTAATGAACAAAACACTTATATATATATATATATATATATATATATATATATATTCTTAGCGATTTAAAAGCTAATGTTGAAAAATAAACTATAATAAAAAAAAAACTCATCAAATATAAAAGTTTTAAAATTTAAATTTTTGTTGCGCCTCATAAGTGCCGTTGTATTCTTACTAATCAATCGAGTTCGATTTGATTTTACAGGTTCTATAGGGTGCCTACGTGACTTTTTATGTTAAAAAAAGTTCTCCAAAAGTGACTGGCCGGTCAAACTCTGATGAACTCCAAGAACAGACTTGATATGTTCCAGGGCCCACATGTCATGCACGGCTAGAAAATGACAGCAGCTGAAGACAAGAAAAACAAGAACTAGTGTCTGATGACAGGCGCCTCCTCCTTTTCATTTGCCTCCTGAAACGATTCCTCAGAGCCCATCATTCCTACGCATGAACAGTTGAGAAAGAGAGCTTCAAAAGCCATCTTGCTTGCAAAGTTGCAGTGCATTTGTAACCTAGTAGAAAGCAACTAAGCTATCTAGACATGTTGGCTCATTGTCCATCCAATCTGGAGCACACAAAAGAAGAGGTTGTAATCTCTCCAATCACAAAAACATTTTGTCTTGGACATTGACGCGGTCAGTGACATACAAATTTGATAATTAATTTCTATTATAGAATATATGAAGATCTGATAAAATTACAAATTATAGAAGTATTTTGAAACAAACGTATACATATGATTTCCACACATCCGATCTAAACAACTAAAATATATAAATGTTCAAAGTTTTTCTGTGACCAGAGAGTGGTTAGCATGACACCTCACAATACAACTTAAGCTTTTCTGTTTTTTTTTCCATTTTTTTTTTGCTCAGAGATTACTTGACACATGAAAGGGGACAGAGTTGGAGGCTTGGAGCAACAACTACTCATGGTTTTCTTAGGCCATCTCCCTTTCTTTTCCTCTCTGGCTTTCTCAATGATGCATTCTTGCTTGCTCCAAACACTTATCCAGGCATGAAGCCATGCATGCTTGCTTTCCAACCTTTTTTTTTTCTCTGCTCAATGCTATGCTGTGTCTGTGGCTTGCTCCCCATGATTGCCCCTCAAGAGGGCCATCAGTGAGAGACAACTGCAATTAGGCAGGATCTATGTCGTCTAATGAGACAAAGGCCCAACCAAAGCCACACAAGCTAATAAGGCTGAATTAATATGTCCATTAGGGCTGCAGCTTCCTGCAAGCTTCTACATATGTTTCTTGTTCCAAACAAGAGTGCTTGTGCTTGGAGCCAAGAAAGGGTTAGTGTAGTTAAATTGGATTTTGTGTCTACGGTGCACAAGTAGGACAAGTGTAACCGTGTCAAGTTAAGTGAATAAATAATAGTGTAATCAAGTTGGAAGTATATATATCTCCCTTAATTGCCTTGGCCTGCAAGACGTGTTCAGACATTCTTTGCATGCTCTGTATGAAATGTGATTTTGCCGTCTAGTGAATGTCAGGTCCAGCTAGCTAGGTCACATAATCATATTAATAGGATCTACAACTCAAGATAATCTACTTGATTGTCTTCTTCAGCCATCTCTTGACCATGATATCACTTTCACCAGCTTCAAGACTCTTCCTCTCTTTTTTTTTCTTCTTCTATGGCAACATTGAGAGCCTGTTTCGAACGCAGAATTGTCACAGAAATTTCTGAAGCTCAAAATGTTTAAATGTTGATTTCATTTTAGAGGTCTCGTCAGCGTCTTAAATAACAGCATGGCCTTCCAATATCTGATAGGCCTGTCCTGTGACTATAAAGAATCTTGGAACTAGACCGGGCAACTACAGGCAAAACATGCCAAATTTATGGCCAACATAGACAATACTTGTACCACACTGTTCCAGCTCTTCAATATAAGGAGCCTTCTTGTCAAAAAATATATATATTTGGATAAGCAAAAGAGGGAGAAGAAAAAGAAAATTAATTAAGCAGCAGGTGTGATGGAACCAGCTTGTCTCTAGCCATTAAATAAGGTGAGCTCATGCACATCATACAAAACAAAACATTGCTTGTGTCATCCTAACTAACACCCAAACAGTGTCTCTGCATATCGTGTGTAATTGCAAGATATAGGGCAAATGGCAGGATTAGGTATGTGTTCTGTCACTAGCCAAGTGTAGATGCCATGTTAGGATTAGCTTTCAGGGGGACACAGAAACATATAAACTTTCACTGAAGCAATCCTGTAAGCTGCCGGACATACATATTGCATTTGATACCTACGTTGCCAATAAGCATTGGGAAGTTTGGGGAGGAATTTGATGTCTGGCACGTACAATTTGAAAACACGGGAATCAATTAAACAAAACAAGTTGTTTGGATACTCCATATATAGGAATAATTGCAAAAATTTTAGAGGGAAAAAACTATTATCTCCATCCCAAATTATAGTAACATCTGGCTATGTATCTAGACAGTCTAAAATATAGTACTCCATATGTCCTAATATAAGAGATTTTGGAGGGATGTGATACATTTTGGTACTACGAATCTGGACATGCTCCAAAATACTTTACAAAAGTTTCTCAATTTTCCACTTAAGTTATGGTTTCCACGTACATTTCTCCATATAAATGAGAAATTCTTATCGGGTTCGAATCCTACGGAAATACTTTATAAACAGAATTGCTAAATAACATTTGATAGAAATTTAGAGCCAAAATGTTACATATTTATGACATTATATTCTTCGCGATTCATGCTAGGCCTCCTTCTCCTCTAACTCCGGTAACCCTGACGAATTCCAATGACCGGTAGTAGCCCAATGATATGATTTAGAGTTTAAGGTTGAGGTAGGATTAGGGTAGGCAAGAGGGAAGACGGAAGAGGGGCTGTTATCTAGGCTTAGAGTGATATTTATGGGAGGTGGGGCGCATCAATGGTGGTCAGCGAAACGGGTAGGCGGTGGCGGCAGTGTCGAAGTCGTGGGGGTCAGTGAGTAGTGGGCTAGTATTGGTACTGGAGGCAAAACACAACAAGTGGTTAGGAGGGAGTGGTGTCTCCAGCGACGGAGAACCACCAAAGAATAGAAAGACAGTAGGTTAGGGGCACTTCGCCACCATCGGCTTAAGGAAGAGGAGGAGATGAGTGGGGGGGTGGGAGGAGACCTGGCAGGAGGCACTGGTGGAGAAATGATATTTGCTGGATCAACCCAAAACCTCAATAGTCTCGGTTCCAAAAAGAACCGGGACTAAAAATGATCTTTAGTCCCGGTTGAAAACCCCACAACCATTCTATGATCTACCATCTTTAGTCCCGGTTCATCCCCTGTCAGATGCATGTCAGGGGGTGTCACCAACCGGGACTAAAGATCACTACTTTAGTCCCGAACTAAAGATCTTTAGTACCAACCGGGACTAAAATTCAACGCATAGTATATAATCCCTATCACTTATCCTCTCCTCCATAATCACAGCTCACACAGCTCACCGGGGCTGGTGGCCGCCGGCTGTGGTGGGCGGCGGCGGGCCGGGGGCATGAGGTCGGCGGTCGGCGGGGCCGCGCCCGACGGCGGCAGGCCGGAGACCGGCGGGGCCGCAGGTGGTGGGAGTGGCGTTTTCTGTCTTTTTTTTGATAATTTTTGATTCACTGAGATGTATAATTTTGTGATTCATTGTATCATATGGATATGAGATGTCTAATTTGTGATGTATTTGATTTGTGTGTATTTTTTTAGGATTTATGATGTATTTGATTTGTGTGTATAAGTAACTTTAAGATTTATGATGTGGATTTGGGATGTTACTTTGATTTGGGGATTTGGGGTTTGATTTGGGGATATGCATGCCACTTGATTCGAGAGAAAATAAAAAGAAAAAAGAAAGAAAAAGGGACCATTTGGGACTGCCGTTATTCTCTCTTTACTCCCGGTTGGTAATACCAGCCGGGACGAAAGATCCCTCTCTTAGTCCCGGTTGTTGTTACCAACCAGGACTAAAGATGTCCTGGTTATTTCAACTGGAACTAGATTTATACTCCGGTTAAAAACCCGGGACTAAAGGGGTTATCAACCGGGAGTAAAAATGGTTTCTCCACCAATGAGGGTGCATTAGTGTGTTGGGGAAGTAGCGGTGAAGTAGGCAGGATCGAGGTGTCGAGCTACGACGAAGGGAAGAAAAAGAGGAGTAAGTTAGGTTTTAGGTATTTGCACGAATCTTGAAGTGATCTAACAGTTCAAAATTCGTAGGATATTAGAGAGGTGCATTGCGCATTACCTTAAATAAAAATCGGTTGTTCCCAGTT